AAAATGTTTAAACTTCTGATATCTTAAAAATCACATAACACATTTGCATCTTTTACCTTTAGTAAACTGTGCTAAAGGTGTCCTGTATACATTGCTTCTCATGCATGCTGTATAAGCACACCTATATTTCAAGTTTAGACCAGACCAATTCTATTTCTTGTTTTAAGTATCCTCCAGTTGTATTTTTTCAAGAATACGAAAAGAAATAAAAGTGAATTTTCCCCGCTCAAAAAATAAAATCCTAATGTTTTTATTGGTCAAAAATGTAAACTTACAAGAAATTCTTCTGAGGACAAAAATATGTAAAACAAAATACAATGGTCTGGCCTTATTGATAAAGAACATGGCACATAACCCAAGAATTGATTACCAAACACCAAATTCAGGGAAGACCTGCAGACAACCCTCCACCCTGCTAAAAGACTGAGTATGGGTTTACACCACTTTTAGCAATATTCCAATATTATGGCGGAAGACACCAGAAATGGACTTGAAACATTGTACCGATGTGGGGAATCGAACCGGCCTTTGGCATGACGAGAGAACACTTTAACCACTAGGCTACCCCCACCCCACCTAAAAGAGTAGAATTCACACTCTCTCAAATTTTCTAAAGTTACACACTCACCCTGTGTGCATAGTGGTAACAAAACAGGCTCTGTCATGAGGGAGAGAGAGAGAGAGGGGGAGAGAGAGAGAGAGGGGAGGGGTGTCATCAATTTTGTATACATGCACTTGGTGTGTTTTCATGAAGGAAGAGGGGTGGGGTGGGACTGTTATTCACATTGTACTTGCTTCTCCATAAAAATCATCATCACTCGATCCCAGCCCAGCTATACATTATGAACGGTCCCTTGCAAATTTTCGATCGAACTTTTAACAAACATTTGAATATTGCTATATTTTCTTTAATATTTATAAATGGTAGTAAGGAAGGAAATGCTGTTTTTGTTAGGTTGTATGGGAAAATGCACTCTCATTACACGCTATTCAACTTTACGCGACTCAGCAGAAGTAAAGACACTTCCGTGTTCAAGAGAGAAGTAGTGCGTACGAAACACGTATGACGTGGTCACATAAGCTCCGCCCACTCATGTTTATTTATGATTTCTGTGCACTTAAGACCATTGTGCGTTTAAGGGCACAACACACGTCCTGGGCCCCGTTTCACAAAACTGTCGTAGCGTTATGACTGTCGTACCTCCTATACTGTAACATAGACTTACGACAGTCGTAGCGCTAGGACAGTTTTGTGAATCGGGACCCTTGGCATAGGATTAATTAAATATATATGTGAAACGTGCTTCTATTTTAACACTGACAGGTTGACAATTGAAATGAATTAATGAAGTTGTGAAAATGCAGAAAAGGCAACCTGAAAATACACAACAAATATGCTACTAAATGTGTGTGTGTGTGTGTGTGTGTGTCTGTGTGTGCAAATGGACAGTCATATACATATATAGTCACACTCACATTATATACATATACACACAAACGCACACATAAACAAGCGATTTCGGCAGATGTATAAGCAATAATCATGTACTATCCAAAAAAAGAAACGCATACGCGTTTTTTGTTTTTTTTAAATCTATTAATTACCTGATGTGTTCAAACAATTGTCAAAATTTGTAACAAAAGTGTTGATAACATGATATTACACAATTGCACAAGTAAAAAATTGACTTTACCTGAAAGTGTTGATTTTGATGAGATTTCTTACAAGGATTAACAAGGCATCGCCACAACGCAACAGAAATCACCTTCCAGGTCATTCGTTTTGAAGGAGTTTCAAGGTCAAATCACTACGACATGTCTTGACGCTGCGACATGGAACATCGCCACTGAAAGAATGCACGCTGGAGATTGCCAATCTCTTGTTGCCAGGCGTCTGAATGTTAGTCTTAGCACGATATCACTGCTTGCAGCTCGTTACAACCAAACAGGTGTAACTAATGACCGTCCCCGTACAGGAAGACCTTGGGTCACCACTGCAGCCCAAGATCGGTACATCCGGGTACTACATTTGCGTGATTGTACTGCTACGGGTGAGAGCACAGCAGCCAGGGTGTCTGGACTTCGGAGGATATCCGGTCAAACTGTTCGGAACAGGTTGAGAGAGATTGGACTGAGAGCCAGGAGACCCGACGTTGGTACCGTGCTACGTCGTCACCATCGCGCTCAACGTCTTCGTTATCTAGAATTATGCACTTGACTGTATAGACATTCCCTTCTTCTAAACTGATGTAAAAATCCATGTACTAAAGTCAATTTGTGGACGAGTTATACATGTTTGCAAATACAACATTTTCGCAACAGATTTCTGGGTTATGCGTTCCTTTTTTTGAATAGTATACAAAGGGTATGTCAGGTATTTCTTCTTGTCAAAGCTCCTTTATCTTTTGCAAGATCTCTCGCCGTTCAACGGCTCTTCAGGTGTACAATGAAAACTAAGCGTCGCCATAGGCAACGCAGACGGTAGTATCTATGTCGTCATCAGGAGTATGACGTTACAGTTATTATCACTAACTGTACATATGAACATTTTCATGATCAACGTAGATGGTACTTACATTTACCTATGAGATATATCAATCTACTTAGAAGAAGCCATCATCTAGTATCAAATTATCAATTGGTAATCAGATACTGAGGGAAACAAATAGGGGAACACCGCTGCTCTATTAAATTTTTTTGATGAAACCTGGAAAATATTGAAGGAATGCTTGAATTGTCCTGTGTTCCTATATATCTCAATATATTTTGTCAAGTAATCCACTACATTTATTGGTCTAAACATCTCAATATCACGGTGTGATTATAGCAGCATGTGTCTTATGCGTGGATGATTAGTGGCATTAATTCGCTTCAACGAGAAACAAAAAAACAACACAGTGGGCTGACAGGCGATATTTTCTCAAAACAACTGCCTCTTCAATCCTACGCAAAATCGGAATCACAAATGATCATTGTGTATTTCACAAATGATCAGTCAAAAATATCCCTAGTATGGGGATCTACCTTCGGTTGCTGGCGATCTATATCCCGTATTTTATATTGTATTGTCCTAATTTGAATCCAGTTTTAGAGATAGATACTAGTTTTATTTCTTGTGTCTGTGATATTCTAGATGGGTTTACTGTCCTTCCTCGACAAGCTTTTAGTGATTTACATGTATTTATGATGAAGTTAAAAACTTGTTTTAGTCACGATGTGGCTGAAATATTGCCGATGTGACTTTAAATTTTAACTCACTTACTCACTCACTGATCTGTTAAATGCAATGTACACTAGAACCGAACAGAGCCAAAATAACAAAGGTTGATGTGATAAGAAGAGAGAGAGGACTGAAATGTATACTACTGGTGAAATTATGAACTGACTGGTACGGGGGATGGATGAAATGTTCTTGGTACAACTAGGTAACCTACGTCACTGACATTATTAAGTTTAATACGCTCAATGATTATTGGTTGCATTTGAATAAAATATACAGCCAGGCAACATATATATATCATATAGGTTCATCACATGATGGAGTTGGTCGATATAAACACTGTCAGCACATTTGTGGAATGTAGTCTTGTGCCAATAACGTAGGTACTACTACTGACATGTTCTAGACTTATACCTAGCACCTGATCACTCTCGGGCGTATCTAGTATTGACACTCTGCACCAGTCACCTTTACGCACAAAAACACATATGCCGCCTGAGCCTCTGTGGTGGGTTGTTGCGTCACGGCTACACTTACAGTAGACATCGAAATCGTCATGAATTCCGTTTACGAATGGTGGATTGTGTTCATTGAGCCAATGTTCAGTGACGAAGAAAATGTCTGTGCTATCCAGCCTTGTACATAGTTCACGGGTTCCATGTATAATACTCTGATGTTCCAGGCTGCAATCCGAGGCATGATAAGTAAGAGGGTAGTATACGACATGTTTGTCATCATGAGTTTTCGTTTTCAGCTCCTAATCTATCGTTTGAGTACCATGCACGGTTTGGCACCCATTCCCTGCAATGCACATTAGTAGGCCAGAACGTTTCAAGCGATAGTACTGCTTTAGCACTTTGCGTTGGGACATTTAGTCGTATAAGTTGGGTTTCGTCCTTCCCAATGCTTTAAAAGGTTCATGTAGCTAATTGTTACTCCCCTTTCAGATGAATAGTCCTTGATTGCATCTTTCACAATATCAAAAGGCTGTTCCGCCTTTACGTAAGATAGCACGAGTCTTTTGTGTCGGAAGTGTGGGGCTCCCGAGAAAGCCTTTCGCCACTGTTCTTTAAATTTAACCGTCCTTGTATGTTTGTCATTACTTGAGATTTCACATGTTGCGTCATTATTCACGTCATTGTTTTAATCTGGTCAGGTGACATCTCCTGTTTCAAATGTTGCGGGCTAATTAACGAGTTCTCGCCGTCGCTTGGTTGGCTATCTGAAATGCTGATTGCTTTAACAATGAACCGTCGCTTGTGTTGTAATTCTGTTTCTCGGTGTTCTGTTCACGTCATCGTAGCACGGACTTTCACCGCTTCAGAGTACAAAAGCTTGTTTCTTGTGTTTATACAGTCAAGCTTCCCATCAATAGCACACGTTCTCTTGTCAATAGCCATTATATGTTAGTCTACAATGTCATGTAGAGTTTGAACTTCAGTTTGAATTATCCATTTGGATATTCCATGTCATTCAATTCATTCTTTCAATCAACAGCTTTTACTGTGCTAATGTCCTTGCCTACAACCAATAAAGTAACTGACAATTGTCCAACAGGATCTTGATTTTCTTCATAATGTTTACACCTGAAAGCCTCAAGTCAAATGGACATCAAAGTAACTTTACCTTTTAACATTCTTTAACTATAATCGAACATTAACTTTATAAGAAGTGGTCATGTGCATGAAGCCAGCATATTAACACTGAGATAAGAGAAAGTTAAGTCTGAATTGTTACCCGGATGGTGACTCTCAGTTCTCCAACTACACTGTTGTCAATGGGTTGTATCAACTCCTGTCAATGGGTTGTATCAATGGGTTGTATCACCCTGTAGATGCTTGTACCTGCCACGTGCTCACTCGTAATTTGAAACTGTTCTCGTACCCACGAGGTTCACCTGTCAAAAAACACATCTTCCGTTCTATTTAACTTTTAGACTAACACTTACTGAAACATACACACACACACACACATTACTTAGCACAATGCTTCTAATACGTTACATATTATATGTGACATGATGCAGATCTTTCACTTGGTAACATGTCGATGAACCTGTGTTCCTAACGAGCAAGCATCTGGCACTCATGACAGCAAAAGCCCTGTATGATTAATTATTAATTGTTAATTTGTGCCTGTATGATAAATGTAGTAGGAAATTGAGACAGAAGGGAAGTACCGACAAATCCTTCAGAAATGTAGACAACTGCAGAGATTTGGAACATGGACACCACAGTGTGGTTATAAAATGATGTTTATGTGTAAGTTATTTAATGCTCACTCAATACCACTGAGAAGATAATTGGGGTGTTTAGGGTGTCCTGATCCCTGGCTAGGATGCTGGCAGCAACATTTGGGTCGCCAGGCTGGAACAAAGATTCCAATATTTATCATTAATGGTCTCACACATGTTCTATAAAGTTATCTGAAGCAACCTTCACAATCCAATGTATTTAACAAACATAACCATTAAAAACAATGATGTTGCCTGTTAAATGTACCCAAGTTCAGCAGGCCCTAGAGCATACTGGTAACCCCACGAATTTGTATCAATGTGTTTTCCTGTTTTAAATCAGTCCCCCATGCATCACATCAGATATGTATGTCAGACAGACCTACATCATTTGAGCAAAGACGGGGCAAACGTACCATCCAATATACCTATATGACCATATCAAACTGTCAATGTTAATGTCAGGATCACATGAAGACTACTACCAGGGTTCAAGTCATGAAAATAGTGTCAAAACTGTCAAGGTCACATGATGATTGTGTCACCATCAATGACAAGGTCCTATGAAGATGTGGTCAACATCTGCTGCAGTGGAGTCCTCATGGCAGTGTCAGCATCAATACTGAGGTCAGCCAGTCAGTGCCATTATCAATGCAGGTGTCAAGAATACACTAAACATGCTTGTGAAGGTCCAGAAGGTACCATCAATGTAATTGTCAAATTTTGTTTCATTAATGATGTCAGAGATAAAGTCAATCAGACTGCAAGAAAACGTTTGAAGGTGTCTTGAGAAAAGATCATGAAGGTCTGAAAGACTACGTTGAACCGTGAGGTGACATATCTTGAGGTGAGGTGAAAATGCCTGTAGTTTAGAACATTTCATTATCAAATACCGGTTCTTATGTCTGGACAAAATGTATCAACATGCTTAAATGTCAAGATATGTGGAGGGAGATAAATTCAAGATATGTCAATGATCAATTCATCCATACATGACTTAATTTAAGCAAGATTTGAACCACTTACTGTGTTTATGGTGAGATCTGTACACTGGAGGTAATACTCAAACACAGTACTGTCGTCAAGTGAGTCTGGACGACCACCCTAAAGTCAAGAATATATATCATATATAACACCTGTTCTTGTTCTCGAAGCACTGTTATTTTTTTCAAATGAACACAGATACAAGTTAAGGTATTATAACTATCCCTGTGAAAAACAGACACAAACAATGAGAGCATAAATTGTTCATGTGACCAATGGATTATTGAGATATGTCCAAGATAATCAGGTGATCTGTGCCTTAAAGTCACTCGTACATGTTGTATTAACAAGAGGTTTTCACGTTTTACAAAATGACCAATACATACTGCACACACAAAAGACGTACCAGTGCTGGAAACATCCAAATAGGAGCGACAAAACCCTTTCACATTCATAATAATGTTGATTCTACAATTGTGACTTTATAATGAGCATATATTTGTTTCAGCAGTATTACAGTTTACGATGTTGTTTGTAAGAAAATCGAGTCTGGACCAGACAATCCAGTGATTGTCAACATACATCTCTGTCAATGGGTTTCTTCAGTCTCAGGAACCATTCCCTTCCAGTTACGCTGCCACTTCGAGGACCAGACTCCAGAGCAAAGTACTCCGCAGGAGGAAGCTGAGCATTAGTATTAGCATCAAACTGAAGCCCAATGCTCTGTGTATTGCCTGCCAGTCCAAGTCCAGCTCTGTATTCATTTGGTGAAGCTGAAATAAAAACAATGTTTGCTACCTCAATCTTGTTCCCAGGTTACGTTTTTTGACTCTGTGTTTATGAAACAGATTCTCCCCTTTTTCTTTGTAAGGAAATATCGATTTTGTGTGACTATGAACATCCACTTTATAATAAGAGTACAAATCATATTAAACAAGCGCACAATCATCTTATACTACTACTGGGTTTATGAAAACTTACCATCAATTGTTGCCTGATTATCTACTTCATTTATAGACACCCTCAAGGTTCCCTCAGCAGATGCATCTTGGCAAGAGTCTACAAACAAATAATACATATATCACTTACGTTATCACAACGAACCTGCATCCACTCCCAAAAAGCTTTTCGTTTTTGCTTAGCATGAACACAAGGTCTTCATAATCCCTTACCATTTATAATCCTTACATAAATTTTAAATATATAATCTAATACCATGAATGTCCTGTCAAAAACCATTGCCATCAATGCAATGAAACTTACATATTTTCTACTGACATATACTTAATGACAGAGTAAAATAACCTCTACATTGTATTTCTTCATGAACAGGAATGTTTTGGGAGATATAAACATATAGCATTATTAAATCTGATCTAAAAATTTGCCTTTGAATATGATGAACGCAGGAAATATTTTGTATCGCAAATACATTTATTATGTGAAAGTTGATTGTACCTGTTTAAGGAACCACTGCAATAACATTCTATGGAATTCTTGGTAAAAGCGCATACTAATCACCTTGAAACCATGCTTCATTGAACTTTGCATGCAAAAGGGGTAATTCAGAAAGTGTAACAAGCAGTAGTATAAAATATATGCAAATCATGCCAATCCATAGGTAAAATTCATATGTTTGAACATATTGAAACAGGTTAAATTCACGCATATTTGGACAAACGAAGACCAATAACATAATCATTAACTTTTAGGACCAATATGAAAGAAATGCATAGGGCAAATTCTTGAAATACATCTTTCCATCATCCTATGCAGGCAGCCAAGATCTTCCAGATGCACGTTATGTAGTCTCAGAACGCAAACTTGTATGTTCCAACAGTTTACATATCCATCAACACCAAGCACAGAAACCATATCCATGGATCAGAAAATCCAAGTTTGGTGTACCTAAACCTTTCATGGAACAATCTTTCTCATCTGACCCGTCAGGACACTGTACAATCCCATCACATTTACAATATCGAGCAACACAGGTGCCATCAGCACACAGGAACGTGTTGGGGTCATATAGACACTGATACTCAGAATAGTGCCCAAATATCTCGTGATCCAAGTTGTAGTCTGAGTTCCAAACTTGGTCCAACTGGTGGGAATAGCTGTCCACCAATGCCCAAGACTTGTCTAAATGCGAGAGGCAAACATTAAGAAGTCTTTCAAAGCTAACATACTGTACACAAGCCTCCTAAACTAACATGTAAAACACATAATGAACGACATCATTCAATATGTAACAAATCATAATCCAACTCGGCCAAATGATTATCACCTGCAGATGAAAATCAACTTAAGTAAAAGTAGGAAAACGTGGGATCTTTTACAATCCGTCTTATCATACCTAAACCGTGCTATTAAAAGGGGGTCAATACATATCACAGTGTGCACTTTCTGTTATATTGGAAACTATATTTGTGCACTGTACTATTAACATGACGGTGGTTTTATACTGTTCTTTAATCTAAAAGTAGTTATACACTCATCCACAAGTTCATTGTACAAAACATTATGTTTGTTTTTTCTCAATGCGATTTTTTATGATTTCAAATATTCATCACATTCGTCAAAACAGATTATTTCACCTAACTTCTCGCAACTACAGTGATGATGTTATGTGTTGGAACAAAACAATTACTAAAGGTCATTGCCAGCACCATTATCAAACATCTTTCTCGGTGTAAAATATATTTCTTTCTTCTGTACTTTGTAATCTATAGAATGTAATCACAGAAGCTGCTCTAGGGCAATTCTGACTAATCGTATCTTATAAAACCGAGGTATATTGAAGTACTGCACTAATGTTAATAGTATACTTACTGTAAAAATTGACTTGCTGTTGTGATATTTGTATACATGTCAGCAGCATTAGGACACAGGTCAGCATAACCGGTGCCTGTGCTGACGGCGTTGTCGCCATCTTGTGTGTCTCCCTTGGAGCTGAGGTGGAGGTAGCTGCAACAGATTCTATAATACAATTCCTGATCTTATTTCATTGTCTGTCATGTGGTAAATAAATACTGATACGCATTCATTTATATCTCGGGAAGCGACTTCACAAGACACTATTGCAGTCTAGTTAATGATACGCACGATTATAATATCATGTATGGAGATAATGGATTATGTAAGTAGTAAGTTAATATCTCCTACTAAGGGGATGAATTTGTTTCAGACAGTGACACTAATACGCTTCCCTCGGAAGCAAAAAAAACCCATTGTGGACTGACAGACGCTGACAAGCTACTGCCTCTTCGGTCATACACCGAAAATCGGATTCACAAATGTTCAGTCAAATGTAATATACACTAGAATTGAACAGAGCCAAAATAACAAAGGTTGGTGAAATAATATGGAAGACACAGTACTGAAATATACACTTCTGGTCAAATTATGAACTGACTGGTACGGGGGATGGATGAAATGTTCTTGTGTCGGAAATAGACCAAAACAGCTGTAGACTGTTACTCTGTATCCCTAAAATGTACACAATTGCAAACAGCACATGTCGAAATAACCAACATCGGTCTAACTGGGCCTTAAGTGGAATGTGTAATAGGATGTCGAGAAAAGCATTTTTACTCGTAAAATCGGGCAAAACTTGGAAACAAATACCGATAGCTGCTGAAAACAATAGATCAGACTATAGATGGCAATGAGGTCGCTCAGCCAGGTATGATGACGGACCATCGACTCACCTGGCATGAAATGCATGTGTTGCCTACGGGCTCAAGGAGTCATCTCAAAGATATAATATGCTTTCTCATGTTGAATACGTCTCATCTATTGATTTGTAATATCTTACGTGTCTTTCTTTCATAAGGATTATGTTGAGATATGTAAAAGAGTATGCTACCCATAGAAAAGCTTAAATCAGCCATCGTATGAAATGTCTCAAAATATATAGGTGGCATGACCACCCGATGAGCGACAGGACTGGATATTATTTGTAAATTGTTATGACATGCCGTTTGCTTCCCCAGTTTATTTCCCTGAAAGGATTAGCTTGTCTCAGCTGATATCACTACCCCCCAGCCCGACCCCAACCACCGTCTGTGACACCCGTCCTGACACACCGTTTGAGACGACCCCTCCTACCTCTTTCTTTTTATAGTGATAGTGAGACTCCATGGTAGCTACATCCTTAATAGTTTCAGTATTAATATTATTATTGTTTGCGTGAGCTATCTTTTATAATGAAACTAAGTTTAATTTTGAAATGGGCATTTAAAAAGTATCCTTTGTAATACAATATCATCGCACACTAATTTGCATAAAGTAATGGTCTGTTTTAAATAAGTCGCTTTGGCCTTGGAAAAAATCCGCATTGCTCATTTCTGCACTAATCTCTCCTCAGTAAAATCCTTTTTCTACGTGTCCTATCCCCCTACCACTGAGACTGCAGTTAGGCCGAACTTAGTTTAACAGATGTTTCACACTTTCACATATTAACTACATAAATTGTAGATATAAATGCGAAAAAACAGTGGGTTTTTCTATTTCCGACAGTACTTTAGGTAATATACGTCACTGACATTATTAAGTTCAATGTGTTCAATGGTTATTGGCTGCAATTGAACCAAGTACACAACTTGGCTGCTTATTTCTGAAGCATCTAAGTGATTAGGTATTCCTGTGAATTGACAAACTGGGCTTTCGTGTTGTCATCAAGTATCTTCAACAACCGTCCATGCGGACATATTGTCGGCTTTAAGGGGGAGGATTCATGTTCCTTTGCCACTGTTAAGCAGAGCGGAGATCAAGAAAGGATAGTAGCCTCAAAGATGATCCAAAGTCAGAAAGTCATTAACTGCCACCACTGAGGAAACCTGATAAAACCAATCATATGATTGTTAGGGATCTACATCTAATACCACGTCACGTGACCGTTAAAATATATGCTATTTTTCATGCCAGCTTAGGAAAGCCTGAGGAATGGATTGGCTATGTTGATCGATTGGCTGTTTAACGCATCACTCAAAAATATTCCAGCTAAATGGTGGTGGTCTGTAAATAATCGAGTCTGGACCAAACAATCCAGTGATCAACGACATGAGCATCTTTCTACGCAATGGGGATACGATGACATGCGTCAGCCAAGTCAACGAGCTTGACCACTCGATCCCATTAGTCGCCTCTTACGACATCGGTAATTCTAACCTGGATCTTCACGGGTCTGACTAGGTATATGACCAGACCCCGATTACTCGAAACAAACTTAAATCTGAGTTTTGACTTAAGTTCGAGTTTTTACTCAAACTTGAGAAAACGCAGGAAAATGCATTTCACAGAATGAACTGAAATCGGTATTAAACTCAAACTATAGAAGATAATTTGAGTTTGGTGGATAGATTACTTTAGTTGTTTGGGCTTTTATATTTTAAAAATGCAGTCGAGTTAAAAATTCAGCTGTTCCAAATTGTGAAATCAGTTTGAGATTTGAGTAAAAACTTAAGTTTGTTTTGAGAAATTGGGGCCTGGTTTTAAGCACGGCGGGTCGCAAGGCTTCTGACTCCTGATCAGGGACGTTCTTCTCCCAGACTTTAACGTCGTATTGAAGTAAACCCACCCAACACTTTTTTAGTAAATGGATGGGTCTTGGGGTAACCACTATCAGACACTAACTAAATAACACTCATTTGAAACTCAAAAATACCAATTATCCGAAGAATAAGACAAGGTGATGGCATTGGTTTTATAGGATTCTAAACAAAGCATTATGTAAACTACCTCCAGAAATGTCTGACCAATAATAATGATAACTGCGGGAGAATGTCATCTCAGTCATTGCATCAAACCGAAACATGAGTCTCATTAACCTATTCAGATAATGACCTACTTTTCAGCCGATCCGAATTTTCTCGTGTGAAAGAGAAAATAGACATCACAAACAACTATGGTTACACGGAATTCCACTTCCTTGTTTCATAAGAAAATTGTATTTACAAATGAATTTTAAGTTTAAACTTTAACAACATCATATTCTTATACTTTATGGCGAGGTGTAGGCAACATGACCTTAACTAAGACGTCACAGACTTCCGCTGTTTGATGAGGTCGTACAATGATTCACAATTCATCTGGCTCACTGGTTACACCTGGTATGTGTTTTTTTGCGCTTATTCAATGTAGTTCTGTAGCGCACAATGTGATTGATATAATATCAAGTCCGTACCAGACCGCCAAACTTTTCTAGCGGCAGAGCCTCGTTTTGAGATTTCCACGATTTCCAGGTTTCCGTTTGTCACAGCTCGCTGTACGACAGAGTACGCTGCACGACATGTTTTCAAGGACTGAAAGGAGCGTAGTGTTGCAGTATACAAGTGCTTAGATGTATCAAATAATACTGATTAATATTTATATATCCAGTTAAATGAATTGGACGTAAAACCAAACTCAGTCAGTCAGTAAATGAATTGGTCTCAAAATTCTGGACTGGTTATTGTACTAAGTTGCGCAATAGGACGGAACCCAGTCAACAGGAAACAAGACTGTTGTGTAATCAACGTTTTGACTTGCTTCACGTTATAAGCGAGCGTCTCGGACGGTCTGCCCCTTTTAACCATCATCAGGCCAAACACTAACAACGTCATCAGTAATATGACGTCGAACTTGCGGGTTCCATCTGTGCAGCCGATTACGAGTGGTCTGTGCACTCACGCCTGTAACTCTGTGAAACTCATCTCCAACTTGAGAGGCATTTGAACTGACACAGAGTAAACCTATGTGAGTATAGTACCTGGTGGTGTTTGTATCTTAGAATGTATATTTATGTGTGCCAGTACATGAATGCAGTTTTTTGTTAGTTAGAACTCACGGTCCTCCGACCCCTCACTCCCGGAGCATTCTTCGACGGACCAAGCGATTGTAGAGCTTGAGCTCACATCTCCCCAGGACACTGTGGAACGGCCATAATTAGTGGGTAACTGTTGTAGGGTCTACTTAACCCCAATCGGCAGTTACGACTGGAGCTTCATTTTTGTGTGTGCGTGCGTGCGTGCGTGCGTTGTTTAACCCCACGTGCGTGCGTGTGTGCGGCACTAAGCAATATTCCAGCTGTATGGCATGTGTCAACCAAGTCTGATAACCGGACCATCCAGCCCAGTCAGTTTCAGCCACACAGAAATAATTTCAGAACGCATGTGTTTGGCGACAGCCAAGATGAAACATGAGAAGAATGCGATGAAGAGGTATGTGATTTTATGGGCGCATCGCTAAGCTTTCCAAGTGCTAATACAGTTCACATCGAGACTGCTCGTCGGTTCAAAGGAAAAAGTCCCCGATAGCGGTAATTGTCGGATTTTATCTATTTTTTTAAACACCGACCTTTAGTTTCTTCACTTCACAGAGAGCAAGATATGGACCTGAACGCGTTTGTTTGCTCATATGAAGCATGCCCGTGAAGATTATAGCACTGCTTTACTCTCCTGTGGAATACGAAAGACCAATGACCACCTTGAAAGCACACATTACTTTTTTAAACGAAATGTCTGGTTATGTCTATGTTTTGTTTAATTTGGTGGGAGTTGTGTGTGTCTGTCTGTGTGTGGTGGGGGTGGGGGTGTTTGTTTGTTATTGTTGTTTTGTGTTTTCAAACAATCTATACTAAAGTTGTGTTTCATGTTTGTTGTGACAATTCCAATAAATACGAGTGATCATTGAAAAACTCGAAACATGGCAAAACGGTCCTATGTCCAGAGTAGTCCTCCTTAGGATTTCGTAATTGGTACTCAGTATAAGGCGACTTCTTTGCATATGAATAATTGCCTTGTTATATGAACTAAGCCATAACAATGACAAGAAAGCCCACTTTCCAGATATATAATAAGAACAGTGTTGTCATGGCAAAATGTTTCAGAGCGCGATGTGGTGCGAGCAGTTGATATAAGGGAGCTAACTCGTGTAACCCTAAAATATTAACGCCACGTTTTTCTTGCGCATTCTTATTATCTACTCATTACGT